TGTCTATTAATGAAAGGTAGGAGTTGCTTCTAAAGCCTCCTGACAGTTGCTTCTAAAGCCAAAAGGGGCCTCACAGAGGTAAATACTCCCTCATTCAAAGTAGATTTTAATGATCTTTCTGTTTTCTTTTATAATTATAAAAGTATGATTCACATATAAACAAACATTTGAGAAAACAGCCCACGAGCCACTAAACCGCAACTCATGTTTGCAGCAGGGACTTTATGTTCAACTTCAGGGAAAACAAAGGAGAGATGGAAGGAAGAGAGAAGAGAATGTTCCATTAGTCATGCATACAAGAGACTCTGTGGGTTTATATACAAGCAATACACACACATCCTCCCAGGGCAGGGCTAGGCCTACACCAGCCAGGGACATGAGTTTGCCCCTGGCGAATAAGGAATTTCTCCTTCATAATCATTAGAGATATATGAGATCAATTTTAAAAATGTAACCCATCTACAAAGTAAAGACTTTCAAATATTTTAGTTGACTCAGAAAAAATATAAAGAACATATAATAATTGAAAAAATAGAAATGAAAGTAGAGTTTAGCTATAAGGAAAAGAGAGCTGAGTCAATATCCAAAACAAGGAGCCTAAAGGAGTAAAATAAGTGGGTGAGGGTCTGGAAGAGCAGTTTTGTTGTTGCTGTTTTTGTTAATATTCTACTATATATCACTGCAATTTAATGGCAGGGTAAATGGGTTTGGGCAGTATTGTTCTCAGGTTGCCTTGACTTTTTGACTCTAACATTTGAGAAAAAAGTTTCAGGAGGTAATTGCTATTGATCCATTGATTCTTGCACTAAATCTAATTTTAAGTTTACCGCACCCAACTAGCACGGCAGCTCCCTGGAACAGGACTAATATGGCATGGAATCCAGCTTCAGGAGCTTAGTCTACCAGAATCAGACTGAGAGAAGTCATTGCAACAAAGTCCTCGCAAGCAGCCACCACTCTGAGAACCAAGAAGGATGCAGGAGGAAACTAGCAGGCTCCAGAGAGGACACCTATTGGGTGCTGAGTCTTGGGGTGACTGTGTGCCCAGGGCTGAGGGGTTCCACTAAGGTGTTGCTGAAGAGTGCAATGAACCTGGGGCACTGGAAGAGTCCAGCTAATCCTGAGCATTGGGCACATGGGGTAGATAAGGGTGTGAGGCAGCAGGAAAAGACCGGACCAGTAGGACACAGCCCCACATGGTACCTCAGGGGACAAGATAAGGACTGTGGAAACAAAGGGAGCCTAGCAGAAGATCTGGAAGTTGTTCCCACTGAGGGACAGGGGTGGACAGATGTGGTAAGAGACCAAGAAGGACAGCTGTTAGGAGGTTGCTTCATGGCCAGGAGTGGGGATGGGAAGGGAGGCTATGGGGAATGACCTTGGAACTTGGCCACTGCCACCCACCTGGCTGGGTGGCACAGAGAGGGGAAGGAGAGGTGTCCTCAGACAGAGATAAAGCAGGAATTCCCATGTGGTGTCTCTTCTCAGTGGAAGGAAGAAAAGAAACCTCCATGCACCTGACTCATAGAGTGCTTTTTGCTGTGCAGGGTCCCCAAGAGCTGCTGTCAACCTCCATACCTCCTAACTCCCTGACCTCAGCAACAGTGGGGACCCTGAGCCCTCTGACCACACCTCATGATTTGAGTCTCCAGGTCTTTGTGTAGTTTGAGAGGGTGACACTAGAAGTGTGGCCATTTAGATTCGTCTTCAAAACTGATACTGGCCAGACCCAAATCCATTGATCTTTAAGTGTGTCCTCTACAACATGCTTCTGGGAGACAGCCAGCCAGTCAGGACTCATCTGCTTCCTTTGCAGTGCCTGTCAGATTGTGGGATGCCACAGACAGTAGAACAGATCATCACCAGACTTTCACCAGCATCTGTCACCATTCTGCAACAGAACCGGAGCAGCCACTATGCTGCAAGCTGCCATGGACGATGAGGATGCCCACAAGGGTTCAAGAGCAGCCATCACCACCCAGGGGATGGTACTGTCACAGAAGGCTGGCAGTCACTATTTCTGCAGCACCCTGTTGGCCTTCTGCCTGCCCCTAGAGGGTATAACCTCTGGCTGCTTTTGTATACCCTCTCAAGCACGAGCACGCGCGTGCACGCGCACACACACACACACACTCACACACACACACACACACACCCCTAAACCAGGTCTGCTCACAGCTGGACGTCCCCAACCATTCTTATCAGCCTAACTCATCCCACCTACTACTGTAAGAATGCTCTCCTTACAGCCATCATTAACATAAGAATCTCATGATCTAAGGTCCTCATCAGCATGAGATTTGCATCAACATAGGATTACTGATGCCCCCTAAGTTATCTGATACTCCCTCCAATTATTGTGTGTACCCAGTAATTTGTACCCAACGGCTAGCTCTGAGAGGCTTTGTCTTTGCCCACTCTGAGGCACTGACTTCCCAGCCCCCCACATACTTTGAAATTACACGTCTCTATTGTCTTTTTTCTCTTTAGCCCTTGCCAACCCCCTTTCTAGGCTGTCAGAGGATTGACTGCCTCCCCCTCTCCATAGCTGGACACATCAACAGGAAAAGCCTCAGGAGGGGCTGCCAGAGCACCAGCCATCACCTGATCACAGGAAACCGTGGAGGGCTCCTGGTTACTAATGAGAGAGAACCAAGGGGTCATGAGTAGGGTAGCTCTGGGATAGTATCCTGGCTGGAGAGGCAAGGAGAAAAGTGGGGGGTGCCTATAAATGAGCTTCATTTATTCATTCATCCAATATCTGTTTTCTGGGGGCCTGACGTCCAACACGGTGACATCTGGGGATACACTGTTGAGCGAGACGGACAACTGCACATCCCAGGAGGCAGCCCTGAGATAGTGAGCAGAGCACTGCAAGTATGTGACTTTGCCATGGGGAACATGGGAGGTTTCAAAAAGGAGAAGCCCACAAGGGTTTAAAGGATGAAACAGGATTAAGATTAAGGGCTGATGGGGTGGAGCTGGGAGAGGCTCCCAGAGCACAGGCAAATGGAGGGAGAAGCAGGCCCAAGCATCTCTGGGATATCATGGGGAACAAGACTGCTGTCCTAGGCCACTGCATCTGACCCTCCTAAAGATTACTAAGTAAGTAATGGGTTGGTTGAACATATGATCTGCCAGTTTGCTAGGGAAAAATGGACAAAGATCAGCTATTTTACAAGGTTCAACCTACTACTTCTTGGCAGATATTCCATGGCCATTCTCCTGAGTTAGTTTCCCTCCTAAAGGACACAGTGTCATGGGAAAGAGGAAGAGAACTAGTGCAGCTGAGCAGGGTGGGGACAATGATCCTCAAGGATACACAGGGGCCGTGAGATGACACTTGGGCATGATCCTGCACGGCAGGCAAAGATGCCTGCTTGGGACCACCTGCAGGACTAAGCACAAAGGCAACATGGGAAGCGGACCAGCTGCAGTCCCTGAGATGGTCACTCAGGAGCAAGGTGAAAGTATGCCTGCAAGACAGGACTCAGGGACGTGTGGGACAGGAAGTCTCCTACCCTCACAGCAGGGTGGCGGCAATGCACTGGGCTGGCATGCAGTGGGAGGAGCTGGCATGGAGGGACAGAGAATGAGCTCTGGTGAAAGTGCCCACTCAGCTCTGATAATACGGAGAAGGGAGGCCAAAGAGAAAGGAAGCAAAGGAAGCTAATCGCCCTGACTGCCAACAGACCAGTCACCTTGTGTGTGAAATTTAACTAAATCTCCTTCCTCCAGAGCTGTGTCAGGACAGGCCGCCTGTGAGCAGTTCTCTGAGGTGGTAGTTCAGAAGTGTAGAGCCGCACCCTAAATGGGCATCTGTGTGCCAATGGTCATGTTCCTAGGGCTAAAACTGGCCACTCAGTAACCTATGTTACTTGTGGTATGTATGATGCTTATGCCTAAAAAAGGTGGCAGCTAGGGTTAAGATCGAGAAGAACATGCCAGAAACCTGTCCCAGGACACCTGAGAGGCAGGAAGATGGCCTCAGATCTGGGCTCTGGCCCACATGGATGCCCAGGGGCCCCACTCTGCTGATCCGCTTTGTCCCAGCTCCTCCCCAAGCCTGAGATTGTGGGAGGTGGGGAATGATCAGTCAGTGGGGCAGAAAAGACTAAGCCTAGTCAGGCTACAAGCCCTAGCCTGAGAGCACACCCTGCACCCTCAGGGTGAGTACCATGCTCTCCCTCCCGGAAGAAGGAGACTCAGCACAGCAGCCCTTTCCAACATCTCTCCCAGGAGAACCCTGTGTCAGCCTACAGCAGTATCCTAGCAGACAGAGGTTTTGGGGCGAAGTCTATCTAAAGACCTACATAACAGTTTCCAAAATAGTAGCAAAATGTCTCCGTAAAACCAAACGACTCCCAGGGAAGAAAGAACATACTACATTCTCGTACTTGTTTCCTTAATTGGGAACAGATCCTGGTGGCTGGGATTTCTTTTCAGAAGTACACATCCAGAAAAATCATAAACATCTTGACAAGCTGCAGCATCCCTAATGCTTCTCAACTCTGAATTCCTAATTGAGTTTTTAAAAAGAGGCAACCAGGAATTTTCATGCTGGTTTTGATTCAGGATTCAAAACAGAACCTACAATGTGCATTTCTATATTGTTTCAAGCCATGTATAAACTGGTTCCCAAACCTTGAGACCCCCTCCAGACACTGAAAAGAAAGGAGAAACAGATGGAGGCGTGGATTCTGAGTTCAATGTACCAATGAAGGTTGTTCTTCTATTATGAGACATACAAACTATCCTGTATTCTCCCCAGGATACTTTTAAACACTTTAAACCATCTTCTATTTAAAAGAGGAGACCTAGGGTGCCAGATGTTTGCACAGTACCTGTTGCTTCCCACAGGGGATTCAGAGGACTTTTTAATTTTTCTTTGTTAGTTATTATAGAAATTGACTGCCCTTTTCATTGCTTACACTAAATTCCAATATAATAAAGCATCTAGATGTACAATGGAGTCTGTAATGCAGAAACCATCTCCTTACCTGAGCATCTTGTCTTCAAGCATTTCCATGTACTTCACAGTACTTCCCTTCACACTTGCTTCTGCAAAACAAAAATCTAGTGTGAATGCACTTGCAGTCATGACTGAACACACTGAACTATCCAGTTAAAAGCCAAAACCAAAGCACCATGGTCAAGCCATAATAACAGCAGCATCCCATGTTGGAAAACATTCAGATCCATTGGAAGCACCTCCTGAAATCCTATATTGAGAAGGATTCTGAAACTCTAAGTCTTTTTGCAAAGACAGTCAGAGATGGGGCGGAGGTGTCACTGTGCTGCCTTGGGTTGATTCTTCCCTGAGTACTTGCTGGTAGTCTATCACTGGTTCACAGAATTCAGTACACCCTTCCTAGTTGTCAGCCAAGGGCTACCTTGTAGAATACAGGGTAGGGAACTGAAGAGTAGAATAATTTCTGTGACTGTTAATCTTTGGTGGGGGTTGTTTTGTTTTGTTTTGAGGTAGGGTCTCACTATGTAGTTTAGGCTGGGCTTGAACTCACTGTGCAGCCCACGCTGGTTTCAAACTCAAGGTGATCCTCCTGCCTCAGCCTTCCGAGTGCTGGGATTACAAGTGTGCACCACCATTCCCAGCTGTAACTGTTAATCTTGATTGTCAGCTTGACTGTGTTAAGAGGCAATTGGATTTTTTTGTTTTTGGTACCAGGGATTGAACTTGGGACCTTGTGCTTTCGAGGCAGGCTACTGCACCACTGAGCTACATCCCCAGCCTGAGGCAATTGGATTTTGAGGGCACTAACTTTCTCCATGTATTAATCTATCAGTGAGTTCATAGCTCAATGGGCTTACTGGGAGGTAAGGCCTAACTGAATGGGGGGCATAGATGCTTTTGAAGGGTGCATCTTCTCCCTGGCCTCTTCTTCCCTAGTTCTTTTCCTCCCACTCTACTTCCTGGTTACCATAAGGTGATCAGCTTTCCTCCTGCACATCCTTCCACCAGGATGCTTCTGCTCTGGAACCAACCAACCATGGACTGGAACCTCTGAAACCATGAGCCACAATAAACATTTCTTCCTTTAAGTTACATATGTCAAGAATTTTGTCCCAGCAATGAAAAGCTGACTAATGTAACTTCCATCCTACGGATGAAACAAGGAACCTCACCAGTGGTAGCAAGGGACTGTAGACCCATCCACTGAGAACCAAATACAAACGTATGATCCTCCAATGAACAGGAATTGGCCACTCACCTCCAATGCCTGAGAGATCAGCCATCACTTGAATGAACTCAGTGTATCCTAATTACCACATACCACATTTTGAAGGAATCATGATTGCTCATGGTTCAGAGGGGTAAAGAGGTACTTCACTAACAAGAAAGAGCCTGGCCCACTCTACAAGTTCTGGTGCCCTCTGTTTCCTCCTCTGAGGACTGAATGTCTTCCTTTCACAATTGTAACCAAATGAGATGTGTATTCAAGGAGCTCAGAACCTGCCACTGAGGGTTTCCTTCGAGTGGTGGCTATAATTACTGATGGTGCTGCTACTTCTCTTACTATTGTTACTGATAGGTGGGGTTTTAGCATTATTTTTATTCTAACTTGTATTTATTGTCAAAGCCAATCCCACCAGTACTCTAAACTTGGGAAATGTGCAAGAGCAGAAGCCAGGGTATGCAGTTTGAGCTGCGGGCATCTGCTTTGGGGACTCAGAATCCATTTTAGTCAGTATATATGTACTAGGGTGAGGGACAGAGGTGCATATTTGGAGCTAGAAACATACCCCAAAATTCCCCATAACAAAACTAAACATTTGGATGAAAATTTAAAAAATTAATTTTGATTCATTAGGTCAACAAAGATAAAGAAAAATTTGTACAATAAAGACAATAGTTTAAGTTGGTCTGTTATCTGATTGATTTATGCTACCCTAACCTACAAACTTAGTTGTGCTATATATGGTGGTACCTCGGTTCACAAACTTAATTTTTTCCACAATTCTGGTTGCAAACTGAATTGGATCAGAACCGAATTGAATTTCCTCATAAAGTCAACATGGAACCTAACCACCGAATTTGATTTGGTTCTCATCCAATTTGGTTTGGGACCAGGATAGTGGAAAGAATTAAGTTTGTGAACCAAGGTACCACTTTTATCTTTCCAAGTAAACTAATGAAATGCAAGTATCCCTCAGCATCCACAGGAGAATGGTCCTAGGACCCTCCAGAGATACCAAAATCCAGGACCCTTAAATTCCTTATACAAAATGGCATAGCATTTGTATAAAACCTACACACATCCTCTTGTGTACTTTAAATCATTACTAGGCTACTTATAATGTCTAACATAATGTGAATGTCATGTAAATAGTTGCTACACTCTATTGTTCAGGGAATAATGACAAGGAAAATAATTAGCACATGTTTAGTACAGTTGCAATTTTTGTTTTGAAATTTTTCATCTAAGGTTGATTGGCTCTGTGTGTGCAGATCCTACAGATATGGCAATTTTTCTGTATTTTAGCCCTTATTATGTGTCAAGTGTTGTGTGAACATGGGAATTTGGCTGTTGTCACACATTTTACGAAGTAAAGCTTGCTCACTGGTTAACTGGAAGCAAGTGAACCCAGTTCCAAATGTCCCCATATGAACTGCTCTTGCCATGTCCCGTTCTATCCACATGTATGTGCTGCATGCTATTCTCACATTTCAGGTGAGTCAGCCGGCAGAACCAACACAGACCTCTCCTTCTGTAGTGTTTACATTCTAGCAGCGGGCATTGGTAAAGAATAAACATGAAGTTCCATAGATTATTAGATGGTGGTATAGAGTAGTCAAGCAAGCATCACTGAGAAGGTGGCATTTGAGTAAAAGCTTGCAGGGTGCCGGGAAGAAAGCCCACATGCATCCTATGAAGAACAGAGCAAGTAGGAAGCCTAGCCAGGCTAAAGGGCCTGAGGCAGGGGCATACAGGGTGCTCCAATGAAGTGTACTTGGAGCCTAGTGCTCCACAGGGAGAAGAGAGGAGGGCAAGGAAAGACCCAGGTACCATCATGTGCCACTGAGGCAGACTGCATGCCCAAAACATGGCCCTATCAATATTCTAGTCCTACATCAGACCAGACCCAGGTTACCTTGCCACTCTCTACTGAGCAGTGAAGCTCATTTCCCTCCCTTTGAACCTGGACAGGCTGTGAGGCTCCAATGCACTGAGCAGGATGCAAAAGACTGTGTCACTTCTGAAGTGGCTAGAGTCCAGCTCTGCTAGTACTTTTTCCTGGGAACCCAGCCATCATGTGGTGAGGAAGCCCACACCCATGGAGAGGCCATGGGTCGGCGTTCCTGCCAACAGCCAGCATCCGCCTTCAGACATAGGCGTGAATGGGCTGTGAGATGGGCTGTCCCTTAGGTATGAGGGACCCAGACATCACAGAATCGAGATGAGCCAGCCCTTCTGCACCTGCCCCAATTCTGGACCCATCAAATTTATGCACACAATAAATGGTCCTATTAAGTCATTAAGTCTGAGATACTCTGTCACACAGCTGCAATGACTGGAAAGCTAGTGCCAAAGTTCTGCATGTTCTGAGTGAAACAGGAAACATGGCAGGATGAACTGGGATTGACTTACAACTGTGATGTGGAGCACTGACGGTGGGAGGGTGGGTTGGGAGCAGAAGACATGGGGGTTAGCACCAACTGGGGAGGAGGTGAGGGAGTGAGGGGTAGGGGGAGAGTTTACCATAACAGGTCATGGATGGCACCCCATAGCAAAAGGCAGGTTAATGAGAGAAGAACATAACAGGACTATTTAAGCAAAGCTTTACATGATGCCAGAATGGAATGAAGACCCAAAGACCCTGGGAAAACTTTCTATCCTTAGAATTGATGGCAAATGGACAGCATGGAGAGAAGTGACTGCACAGGAGGGATGTGACCCAAAGGTGACAAAGTGGAGGACTCTGTAAGGCCTGTCTGCTCAGATTCCTCTTAACCTCCCTGTAAGGCATTCTTTTCCTCTGGGTATAACAGGACACCTGTCATGTGAGGGTCTTCTGACCACTTTCTGGGGTGCAGGAGAGAGAATTCCTTCATGGCTAGCTCTCTTTCCAAAAGAAAATGTAAGTCAGAGAGACCATTGTGCTTTTGAAGTGCCACAGAACCCACAGTGCTACACTGTGGGGTGGCATGCTCTGATCCCTGACAGACACTTAGACCAGGGTATCATCAAGCAGTGATAGTGGGCAGAGTTTAGTTACTTTTAAGGTAGACAAGACAGGGTTTCCTGGTGAGTTGAAGGTCGGGTATGAGAAAAGAGAGACGTCAAGAATGACCACAGGATTTTGTCCTGGGAAAAATAGTTGCCATCAACCAAGTTGGAAAGAGCTACAAGCAAAATCAGCTTGGGGAGGCAAGAAGAAGCCAGGTCTGTGTTCATTAACTTTGAGAAATTTGTTAGACGCCCTGTGAGACGTGCAATGTGAAAAGGGTATCTGAATATGGAGTCTGGGAAGATTCCAGAGTGAAGGCAGATGTTTGGGAGACATTGACTTTTGAAGCAACAAGACTGGACAACATCACTTGGAAGAGAGAGTAACTTAAGAGACCCCTGGCAAGGGTGGGTGGCTACATTTTCATTGTGACACCACCTTCTCCCAAAGGACAGACAGCATCTCCTGTTAGGAAAAAGGAAAAGAAGAAACAGAGGTAAGATTTCAACAGGAGAGTGTATTCCAGAACAAACCTGAGAAGGGCCGCTCTGGCACTAGAGACCAGACCAGGTGCTGTCACATAGGCTACGGGGCCTTTTGTAGGGTCATGGGGAGAGGGGAGTTCAATGAGAGGGGGTTGTGGCTCCCTACCAAGAACAAGGCAGGAGAGCACAAGCCGTAATGGTTGCCCAAGGACAAGGCTTGGAAAGTGCAGGGAGTAGCGGCTGCTCTCAACATCAGAGCTGATGGTGTTGAGTTCCCAGGTGCAACTGTGGTGGGAGGGGCAGTTTAGAGGGATCTCTGATCAGGATGGCGATGGTTGGATTCTTTCGCCTCCAATGAGGGAAACTTCATAGTTGTATGTTTAGAAA